GAAGTTATTAAAGCTTTAAACTGCACTAAGGCTTTTGTAATATACATTATATGTTACAATGTATAATATACATATTCACATATGTATATATGTAATATATACATATATTATGCATATATAATATATACACATATAAATGTACATATATACATATATGTATACAGTTTTGAAGAATAACTTACTTAGCTACAAATTTATTGTTCACTCTCTGGATACTTGGATTAAGATTTCAATTCTTCCATCAAATGTGAGGATATTGTTCTAAGATGGGACCTTGATTAAAACAATTCCCTTTTGTTTACAGACCACTAAATAGACCCCAAGATAATGATACTACATTTATTCCATTGAGAGAAGAGCCAATGCATAGATAAGGAACAATGATCAGGTAAGAAGGTTGGGTCAGTTCCAATTAGAAAAAGGTGTAGGGACAGATTTTTAAATGGACCAATAAGCTAAATCCTGAATTTGGGTGGAACCATGATCTATGATTAGTGTTGGAAAGAAAAAAAAATTCATGATTCCTGGTATGGGGTATCAATAGGGAAAAAGCTCATGACTGAAGTTACAGATCCAGATTTACAGATAATGGCCAGAGTGATGTTGACCAATCTGGTAAAGGACAACTAATTAGGAAGACAGTAAACTAAAACTAGGGAAAACACTTTCTTTTAACACTCTAAAGTTCCTTGTATCCTTTGAAGTATTTATGGATCATTTCTTTCCTCGTGTATAAACCACTACAAACTTTACATGAATTTCAGAGTATGTAGTGGGGAATAGGTAAGGCAGGCAGGTGCTAGGGTCAAGGTCTCTGGAAGCAGGGGTGGTTTTAGGGTATCTAGGAATCAGCAGATAGGGCCGAACCTTTGGCTTAGGCTGTCTAGGTTTTAAGTTATTGTGTTAGTAAAATGGCTTTGGGCAAATTCATAGGGAATCTATGCTTTCTAGCAGCTTCCAAGACCCATGTCCTAACACTGGGAGATGCCTGCTTAATTTAGACATGGCAGCAGAGATTGGTGTGTTAACACTGAATATCGGAAAGATGAGGGACTGAAACTTATCTAAACTTAATATTTTCTCCAATACCTAGGACAGGGAGTAAGGGCTTAATAAATAATTACTGATAATGAGGAGGACATAAAAAACAAGCCTACAAAGTTCTCCCTGAAATTAAATAGGTATGGATCATTTGAAAAACGCCTCTTTTAAAAGAATATATGGTACTGATTTTCTGATTCCTTGAAACATCTAAAAAACCCTCTAGGAAGTAACCCGGAGAGATTTTCATCCACGGCTTAAAGCTAAGGCTGTATACATTTATAACAAAACCAGTGTACCAAAGAAGAGGGTTTCATCAGGAAAAGGCAGAATATAAAGAAATCCTAAGGGCTCAGTTGGAGTAACTATCAAGAGTACTCCAGGGAAATTTTAAGGGCCTGTCTGGCTTGCAGGACTAGATCTAATTCTACAAAACTCAAGGGACAATGAGATAATTAGGAGCCATAGGGAGGGCCTCTAGTTGTCCAGCTGTTCCAAACTCAAATGGATTTGTGATTTCATTGATTGGGGATTGAGTTTTCTCCAGTGATGCTGATGACAACGCATCTATGTCTGCCCAGACTGTTCAGTTGTTATCCATGTCCTCCCAAAAATTCACCATAGGGAATCAATCCAATGTGGCAGAGGCCTTCCTCTTTTCCCTGACATCCTTAGAGTAACAGTGGTAAACTCAAAGTATTTGTCATCTCATGCTCTTGCCACATGACCAGGCTTTTCCTTCAATACATGGAACAAAGCTATTTCACATATATACAATTTTCTCTCTCAAATTAGATTAGGTAGGGTGTTTCTTCCTACTACTGTGCAATAGAATGGGAAACACTAAAAACCACTGACACATATACTTCTTTCATAAAGGCATATTTTCCTCTTACAAAACAAAAGCGTAAGTTTTATGGGAAATACTGACCATCTAGTCCAATATGTATTATAATTGTAGTAGTATCATTGTTGCTCTAAGAATGTCACAGAGAAGAGGAAGGCCTCTGCCATGTTAGATTGATCCCTTAAGGTGAATTTTTGGGAGGACATGGATAAGAGGTGAACAGCATAGGCAGACGTGGATGGGTTGTCATCTGCATCACTGGAGGGAATTTACTCCCCAATCAATAAAATCACAAATCTATTTGAGTTTGGAACAGCTGGACAACTAGAGGCCCTCCCTGTGGCTCCTAATTATCTTACTGTCCCTTGAGTTTTGTAGAATTAGCTCTAGTTTCGCAAAATAGTTTTAAAAAAAAAAAGGATTACAAACTTACAATGATGTTTTAAGATTACCATTGATAGCTATTTCCTTGCTAAAAAAAAAAAAGCATTAGAGCACCTCAGCCATTATAAGAATGCAAATATTGCATGTGGAGCCTACATTAAAAAATACTAATTCCAGTTGCACATGCTTATTGTCCTTTTCCCAGCAGGATTCCTTTGCAATACATGATCAAAAATATTAGATAAGTTCTGAAAATCAGAGTAATCAATTGCCACATTTATGGACTGTTACTTAGGTGTTGTCAAATTATAAAACATTCTGTCCTAAAATTATCATTAGTCATTTTTTTGTGCAGATGCTTTAATTTACAACTTGAAGTGTTCCATTTGAATAGCTGGCAACTTAAATGCTAGCAAATAAAACAAAAACCAGGTACCTAATAAATCCATTAACAAAATATCAAAATGCTTATTTTGTTTAAAATAAGCTGTTGGGAAAGAGTCTCCCTGATTTTATTTAAATATAATTATATTTTATTGTGAGGGCCCTTAATAGGGATTTTATAAACACAGGACACAGGAGTTATTTATGGGATTTGAATATTGCCATACTAGTCTTCTGAGTGGCTTAAAGAAGAAACAAAGGTCAGGGGGGAAGCCATAAAGATATAGATACAAGGAAGTTTGGTGTACGTGTATGGGTAGAGTCTACTTTATATTCTGCTTTAGCAACGGTGAGAATTCAAAATGTGGACGATACATAGGTGTTTTATTTTAAAAGCAAGGCGCAGTTTCTAAGAAGGAATATGGCTACATCACTCTGATAATTCTCCCACATTAGCAATCATCTCTGGAAAATCTCTAGATATCTGAAATTAACTTCTCTTCATATAACTATAAAGCTATTCAGAGTCATTTTTTCCCCCAGTTTGTTTCTTCATATCTAGTTTGAGTTGGGAAAACGTTCATCATTTGCTACTTCCCCTACCTCTCATTTCCCTCTCTAGATCCACACCCTCTGACTCAGAGACTATTTGCAGAAGACACCTGTTTTTAAATGGATCCACAGGAAATACCTATGTTGTCTTTTCATGATCTGACCCTGCATTTGGTTGGCTGACATATGATCCCTTGATTTAAAAAAAAAAAAATACCAAAAAACTCAACTGATGCCTACAGACTGATGGAATTTCATTCTGACAGCATTTACTGGAAACCAGAGTATAACCAACTATTGCTTTCCTTCCATGAAGCACTAGGATTTTAGCAAAATAAACAATGCTATCATAAAACTGTCCCTATTTTATTTTTAATTCAGTTTAGTGCTCAAGTTTTACATTTAAACTTTAAAGTTAGAATAATTTAAAATTGAAACTCAGAATCATTCTTCTTTTAAGGTGAACAAAATCCAGTCTAAGTATCCTTGACTTTCTGTTCCTAGGTTACATTAGTATTTCTAAATAAATCAGGTTTAAAAGTGCCAAGGGGTAGGCTTGTTCAATAGTTATCAGAAGTCAGCATTTATTAAGTGCCTAAATTTTGTCAATTATCACAACCAGGGCAAAGCCTCTATAATCTACCCAGAAGTTCTCTGTCCCTCTAAAAACCACAAGAGGTTAGTGAATAATGAACTGTGTCTTGGCTCCCACATCCTACACTTTCACACTTCAGCAAACATTCTTACATAGTTCTTGGTCCCCACCCTTTTCATCTTGCTGGAACAACACTCCTTAACCACAGTTATTAACCTTTTTTGTGCCATTGACCCCTTTGGCAGTCTGGTGAAGCCTATGGACCCCTTCTTAGATCAACTGAGAGATAGATAGTGAGGACAATTGATGATAGACAAGATTGATAAAAACGATAGGACTGATTATAGACAGGATAGATAGATGATAGATAGGATAGGATAGATATATGATAGGGCAGATAGATTATAGAATAGAAAGGACAGACAGGATAAATGACAAACAGGATATATAGATAGATGGATGATAAGACTGATAGTTTATAGATAGATGATAAACAAGCGAGCTAGATGATGAATAGGATATATAGATGGATAGATGATAGACAAGATAGGACAGACAGACAGGATATAGATAATATAGACCCTCTAGACAAGATATACTGCATTTATCAACAGATTTAAAAGAAACTTAATCGTCTCCAGGAGATGAACGCCTGCATTAGGAGATCCGGCCCCAAACCCGCCTCCTCCCCTCCCACATCCCCGCGTCCAGTGCCGGGGGTCCCGGGTGGCGCGCGTGCACGCCCGCGGGGGGGGGGTCCTTCCAACGCTGTGCGGCCAGACAGACCAAGGAGAGTTAGGAGGCGTTTTCCCACGCTCTGCACACGTGACCTGCACCCACTTCCTCAACCGCTTCTGCTCCGGAGAGACCAGAGACGGGCGAAAATGATAATGATGGCGATGACGAAGGAGATGACGCCGCAGCCTCCCGGGCTTGCTCAGGCCCCACGCGCGGTGCAAGAGGCATTCGCACACGCGCACAAATCCGTATACATACACCCGCGCGCGCGACACGGTCCCTTCCCGTGGGGCGAGCGGAACGCCCCCAGCCCCTGGCCCCTCGCGCGCACCCGCAGCGCACTCGTCACCGCTGCAGCCGCAGTAGCGGCCGCCCCCACACGACCGCCCTCCCCTCGCCACCTACCTGCGCCCCTCCCCCCAGGCCAGGCACCTTCTGGGTCCGGCCTCAGCCACGCCCTCCCACCCTCCGTCTCTTCCCCCGGGGCGGCGTGCAGAGCTCGCGGCGGAGCCGAGGCCCTTGGCGAACATGGCGCTTATCCCCTGCCAGGTGCTGAGAGTGGCCATCCTGCTGTCCTACTGCTCAATTCTGTGCAACTACAAGGCCATTGAGATGCCCGCGCACAAGACCTACGGAGGCAGCTGGAAATTCCTGACGTTCATAGACTTGGTAAGGCCGCCCGCCCCTGTGTGTGCGTGACATTGCGTGTGTGTGTGTATGTGTATGTGTGTGCGCCCATGATCACACCCCGCACACACCTCCAAGCCCGTGCCTTCTCAGCTACCACAACATCCTCTGACCCTCCCTCTACCACCTGGTGGGGAAAGTGGAGTGGGAGGGATCTTGGGAGGGGGAGACCCCGCTCTCTGTTCCGAAGAGGCGGAGCAGGAGGCTTCCCCTCCCCTCTTCTGCTTTTCTCCCCTCCCATCTCTTCTTTTCCATTCCATTCCAACTGTGAGATGATTTCATGACCTTGACTGTGAAATTGGCCTCCTGCTGTGTCTGACCCCGCCGCCCCCTAATTGACCTCGAGCGTACCAACTGAGCGATAACGTGGCTCCGTCTGATCAGCACCTTCTCCAGACGTGAGAATCGGCACAGAAGGGAGAGCAGAAAATGCTGTGCGATCCCCTGTTCCTAGGGTATCTTTCCCCCACCCACCACCCTCATCCTCCTGCGGGTGTTTATAAACTCTGCAACTTTTGGAGAGAAACTTTTAAAAAGATTCCTTCCAAATGGTTTAACTTCGTATCCTGTACACTTTCGCCATCCTTTAAATTGGAGCAAATTTTGTGTATGTAATGGTCTGCAAAAAGCTGGGTCTCTTTTTTTGTAGTACCTATTGAAGTCTGGTCCATTCATTCAGAATTGATCCATCTTAGGTGGTGGGGGCCCCAAGGAAACTGGGCCTTCTCCTGTCAGAAAACTGTCTCACTTCTGAATGAAAAGATTTCTGGGTGAAAAGTGAAGTGTGCAAATTTGGTGAGAGCTATGCAGTGTGCCTTCTCTGTATATGTCTTTTTTTTCCCCCTTCTAATCTGGGGGTGTGTGTGTGTGTGTGTGTATGTTTATAAAGTATGATCCAAAAAAGCTAACCCAAATCATAACTTCTTCATGGAGCACAAATGAGGAAATGTCCAACTAGTGGAATCGAAAATTGGAAAAGAGAAATGAAGTTTTTCAAGGTTGTGGAAAAAGCTGGCTCTCTAGAGAAGGGTTTGCCTCTTTGCTGCCATGAGGACTTTGCACTCTTTTGGAAATGTAAGTCATATATTATGTAGTTACTAATAAAAGTAAACAAAAGTCTGTCTTCAGTTCTTAAGTAGACTTGAGGATCCTTTTGGTCTTTAATAATGTTGCCTTAGTATTACACTTTTCTGGAGGGTTTTATACTTGAAGTGCATTCAAGTATATTATCTCCCACCCCTAGAAGATCTCAAAGCTTCCAGTGCATTACACTGCATTGTGTCATTCTTGTCTGGGAAGCATATTGAGCTATAGCTACTAAAGAAAACTGGAAGAATCTATCCAAACTTTAAGAAGGCATTTTTCTGGCCTGCTGTCAAGACCCTATTTGCTTAGGGCTCTTGATGTTAAGTGAGGTTGGAACTTGATTGAACATTTAAAGGCTTCAAAAAGCGTTAAAGTATTGTGTGACAAAAGTCGTTTAATCTACTCCCATCTTTAGAGTGAGAATGGTTGGATTGGGTGATCTCTGAGATCTCTTCTTCTTCTAAGATTCTGGCATGGATCTGGTAGTGGGGAGTAGAGAAAGGAAAAGAATTAGAATAAAGACCCAGGACAGGGTTACAATGAGAATTCAGCGTATGTTAGGAAAAATTCTTAGAACTCAAGAAAGAGCTTTGCATTTAGAATAAGATGACTTGAGTTCGAATTCTGTCTCTTTGAGTTACTATTTGGGCAAATCACTTAACCTCTCCTGGCCTAGGTTTGCTCATTTGTAGAATGAGCTGGTTGGACTAGAGGATGCTAGAGAACCCTCCAGTCTCTGTCTGTAATTCTGTAAGCTGTTGTAACCACTTTCTTTTAATGATACCCTTCCTCAACACATTGCTGGATGTTTCCTCAGAAAATTTTCTCTTCAGATGTAGGCACTATGTACTTGTCCTATTACACTTTTGAGATTTGAACTCACAATGGGCCCTGAATGATTTTATATATTCTGCAATATTGGCTATATGGCATAATCACTTTATATCTATTTTTTTATAATATACAATCAATCCTTGAATTTGGTCATATAGGTTTTATTGAAATGAAACTCTTCACCTTTTTTTGGTGTGTGGCCTTAAGGAAGTTATACAGTCTTTCTTCTGTAAACATGTCTTTTTTTTTGGTTTGTTTTGTTTGTTGGTGAGTCATTTGGGGTTAAGTGACTTGCCTAGAGTCACACAGCTAGTGTCAAATGTCTGGTATGAGATGGGATTTGAACTCAGGTCCTCCTGACTCCAGGGCCAGTGTTCTATCTACTGAGCTACCTAGCTGCCCCCACATGTCTTTTTTTCAATTGTAGGGATAATCTTGAACTTCAGGAATTGCTTTGAGAAGTTTCCTCCGAAACTCTTTCAGAAAAAATACATATGCAAAGTGATTTTTTTCTTGTTAGAGATTTTGATTAGATTCTTCATTTTCAAAAGGAGGATTAAATCTTTTCAGCTCTGAAATTGTTATTCAGTAGATCTTAGGAATTCTACAGATATAAACTTGGTTTTATTTAAGACAGCAACAAAAACCTGTCATGTTCCTTAGTACACTCAAATGCTTTGAATATATTAAATTCCTGCCACTTCACTCTTCGTGTGTGTGTGTGTGTGTGTGTGTGTGTGTGTGTGTGTGTGTTTAAGTTAACCTTTTCCCACTAGATTTGTACAGCATTATTCGTCTTGACATCTCAGATCAGTTTTGGACTTGATTTTTCTTTCCCAGATCTTCAGTGGTAGGGTCACCTTTTGGGCCAATTCTGATTTAAGAGAACCATGAGCTTTATCCATATTCAATAGTATATGACATCAGTTTTTGGCTAGGTGGTGCCATGGGTAGAGTGTCAAGCCTGGAGTCAGGAATACTCATCTTTCTGAGTTCAAATCTGGCCTGAGACACTTCTTAGCTATATGATCTTGGGCAAGTCACTTAACCCTATTTGCCTCAGTTTCTGTAAAAGGAGCTGGAGAAGGAAATGACAAACCATGCCAGTATCTTTGCCAAGAAAATTCCAAATGGTGTCACAAAGCAACTGAATGACAACAACAAATCAATTTGCAGAAAACTGAATTGTGTCTCAAGCTACGAGTTCACTAGGTTGTTATATTGTAGATATTTTTACTGTATTCAGATCTCCCTATGACTATCATCTCTGTAGAGTTAGAGTTGATAATCAAAAACTGAAGTGAGGGTTATTGCTGGAGGTAATCTTACTCAGCTTATTTCCCCAAGAGTTTTCTTTTTCAGCAGTGAAATGCAGTGAATAGCAGAATTGTGTAGGCACTGCAGGAAAAAGTGTTGTTCCTAACAATGGTAGAACAGGTGGTGTACAGAAGCCTTTCACCTAGAAAGGTTGTACATATAATTCTGTTTTACATGAGTGAAATAAATACAGTTATTTCTGCCAGTCCTTGGGATCTAAGATTGAGTCCCTGGGTGACTTTTAGCTGTTATCAAATCACAGGTGTTTTTTTTTTTTTAATTTTTGGTCATCTAATTCCAAAAAATACCTGCTAAAGAAATGTTCAGTAATGTAACAATGGGCATCTATCAGACGTGTGAGGATTGAAGTACATTGGGAGACTGAGAAGGAGAGGTCAGACAGGTAGGAAAAGAACAAAAAGTCATGACAGGAAGACCCCAAAGAAGAGAGTATCCAGGTCAAGAGAGAGTAGTCAGTAGGATCAGATATAGCACATAGGCCAACGAGGATGATTACTGAGGAGAGACCTTCAAATTTGGCGATTAAGAGATCACTGGTAACAGGAGAGAGTAGTTTCAGTTGAGGGATGAGGTGGGACAGCCAGCTTATAAGGGATTGAGTAATGAATGAGAGTTCAATGAAAGTGGATCCAGTGAATTGTAGATGGCTTTTTCTAGGTGTTTAGTTGTGAAGGAAGATAAGCCAATGGAAGGGTCTGTTGAAGGTGTTTTGTTTTTTTTTTAATTTTTTGTTTTTTGTTTTTAAAAGAATGGGGGAGGTTGGGCATATTTGAAGAAGGAAAGACCAGGTAGAGAGGGAAAGGTAGAATCTTTGCCCTAGAGGCAGAGAGGATTGAGGATGCAGACTGCTGAAGGAAGGTTAGAATCAAGGGTGGATGTAGAGGTGGGAAAAAATAGTGATGCTCTGTACATTTTAACAGAGTAAAATAAAACTAACAAGTAGTTTTTGAAAAGTTTGTGACTCTTTCCAAATCTAAAGTTCAGTCACCTTTGGTCTTACTCATTCATTCATTCATTCATTCATTTATTTATTTATTCATTCATTCAATCATTTATTTATTTTTACTGGGGATCTAGGTCAATATGCATGCTGTTTGCTGATTTGAGGTTGCATTACTCTCTGCACAAGCCTTCATATTTCTTTGTATTCTTATTGATTTCCCTTTTTTATAGTGCAATATTAAAATATTGCATTAAATTAACCATAATTAATTGAGAATTAATTAATTTTAATTCTCCAATTTTAGACATATAGGTTATTTCCAGATTTTTATTATTATTACTTTGCTATTTTAAATAAATTATAACTTTTTTTGTTTGCCTAGATCCTCTTTTTGTTTTTTCTATTATCTTTAGGATAAAATCTTAGTAATGCAATTTGCTGAGTCAAAGGGTAAAATCAGTTTCGCAGCTTTTAAATAATCATAAAACTCACAAGAGCATAAAACTGAGAGAAGCAGTGTGGAATGATCAGGAGTGAACTTGGCCTCAGAGTCATGGAGGTCAGAGTTCAGATATTGACGGTCATATTCTGGCTTTTTGACACTCTTGTACTTGCACCTCTCCACATTATTGTCAATTCTCTGAGAGTCCAGGGTGTGGAACATTTGTAGTCTACACAGGCGTCCAAACAAACAAAAAGCCATCAGCATTGTTAGAATGAAACCAGACAAAGGCAACTGGATTTCTAAGGCTTTGCCACCCAGCTATTTTGTAATAATGAT